AAATATATACACGTGTGTGTGTGTGTGTGTGTGTGCATCGATAGATATTTGAATTTTTACTCGTCGTGTTTCGTTGAAGACAGACGACATGGATGACTCCTCCAGCCGTCGTAGAAAGCTTTCATGAACCGCGAGATCGAAAGATGCGAAAAGAAACCTTATTTCTTTCGAATAGATCAAATATATTCTGCTTGTCTATATACACCTACACACACACACACACAAACGCAGACATACTAACATATGCAAGAGTAAAGACGATGCATGGGAAGATCGAATACAGATAGACGTAGGATTCTTTTTTTTTTTTTAAGGTGATAGCTGCCACGTTGAAAAAGAGGGGGAATTTAAAGAAGGGCAGATGAGCGGTTTCAATTTGTCGTCCCTTTGAAAATGAGAGAATATCGGTGTCATTGGTGATACCAATGTTAACTTAATTATACGCGTACCTTTCATACGCGTTCTGAGGATAGATTAATTCACTGAATCAACAAATTCCAACTAATTTTGCCAATGTTGTGTAAGGTACAGGTGGTATGTACGGTTCCAATGTCTATTTATTTACAAGTATGTATACGAGGTGTCGCATCTCGAGATTACAACTTTTACAAAAGTTTATCTCACGATAAATTCGATGTTAATTGTGTTTCGTGTCTCTTCAAAATATACAATGGAAACTCGCTTAGTTACGATTACGTGTAACGTGCACGTTCGTTCCACTTTATACAACGCGTAGGTACTTTTACTCTTGGAAAACTTTACAATTCGCAATTTAAATAATTGGACGGATAAACCAGATAAGTAGAAATGTAATATCGATTTGAAGGTACTTATATAACTGTACGCGAATTCCCTTTCATCCATCGTACACCTGTCTGTCTGTCTGTCTGTCTGTCTCTCTCTCTTTCTTTTTTGTTCGTATATGTATGTACAAGTACCACTTATTTCCAACGATGATTTTTCCTCACCAATCGATGGATGGATGGATTGATTGATAAAGAAAATAGAAAAGAAAAAAAAAAAAAGAAAAAACAAATATGTGGTTGAATTGTAAAGAAAATATAAGAAACAAGATAACACTTATTGTAACACGGTCTAATTAAAAGCAACCATACTTGAATTTCCGTGGCAATGAATTCATTATCGAACAATACAAAGCATTCGAATGATACGAATACGATATTATGGGAAAAAAAAGATTTCGTAGCGTAATAGTAAATCGTATCGTAATAAAAAAAAAAAAAAAATGATCTCTCATCTTATTGAGTTATAAAATATGAAATTTCAAAGGACCCCAAGAGCATGAATATCAAATGAATGTTCTATTTAAATTGATTAAGAAGAACTTCGGAGACGATATACTAAGTAATAATTTATACGAACCGGAAATTGGCAAAGTGAGGCAAACATCAAAGTTTTTTTCTTTTTCTTTTCCATTTTTTCTCGGTTTAATCTTCTTATCTTGGAAGCGAACCGCGAATCACAGCATCTTCGTCGATGAAGCAACGATTCCCTTTGTCGTATTTCAAATATTTCTTCTTCTCGCGATTACCTTATTCGATGAAGATTCTTTTTTACGGTATACGATCCTTCCTTCTTCCATCTTTTTTTCATTCATTAAAAGAAAAATACTTCAAAGAGCGTCGTACAATTTAAAATAATCTACCAAACCGAATAAAATTCATTTCCATGTATTAACGTAAAAAAAAAAAAAAAAAGAAGAAAACGTATTTCTAATATAATTATATTTTCAAATTGTTCACTTTGTATAAGAATATTTTTTTCTTTTTTTTTTAACAGGAAAACCCATCAAACGATTTCGTCCTTGGTTTTCTTTAATTAGCATACATGGGACTCCAATATTGCCCATAATACCTGACCAAAGATTAAATAAATAAGCAGAGAACTGGATAGGAAATCAACAACCTGTTGATATTTCGCGTATTTCAAGAAACACCAAATAGATTCTCGAATACGTTCGTATAAATTTTTGATCGAATTACTCGTAATATCGGTTAAAACACTACGATGATAAATTAACGATTTAAACGAATTTCAAAAACGATTCTTTACTTATATTTATATGAATGCGAATCGATATTACGATTTAGCGAAAGAAACAAACGCGGTTAAAATTACAACGTATTATTGTAACGTCCAATCGATTTACGATTAAAATGAAAAGAAGAAAAAAACTTAATTGCAAGATGTACATTTCTATAATTATTACGAATTAACATTTGAAGAGTACATTATTCATAGAATTAAATCTAATTCGATCAAAAACGAATCATTCGAATTTCGGAAATTTCATTGTTCATTATACATCATATATCGTATACTAATATTATAATCGTACAAGGTAATATTAACAATTGTTATAGGAACTAATTGTACAGTTCGTCAAAGGAAAACTCAAATTATAATCGAACAAAGGAATGATTTCCATTAATTAAACGATGATTCTATGAAATACGTTTGTTCAAAGATGCATAGCATAGAAAATTTATACTTGTACTAGGGATGCCCCGTCACGCGTTGCTGTGGCTCACAATCAGTCCGATACACACGTCTTTAAGTCAATTGCAATTATAAATTGAGATATAAACTATTCTATATTTCAAGTTGAATGAAACTGCACAGATTGTGCAAAATTTGATTAAAATCGGTTCAGTAATTTAGGAGTCCATTGCGGACAAACAACGTGACACGTAATTTATATATATATTAGGATTTTTATTTTTATTTTTTTTTTGGTTAAGGAAGAGAATATATAGGTCATATTACTTGCATAATACTCGAGAATATCTTAAGAGCTTAAGAAGTGATCTCTTTAATATTCGTTCGAGTGTAAAATTTGCTCGTTCAGGTGTCGCATGGATAATCCTGTTCTATGTCTACATTCTTAGAACGACAAGGACGTGTTGCAGGAAAGAAAGAAAGAAAGAAAGCAAAAAAAAAAAAAAGGATGAAGAAAAATTGACCGAAAGGGAGGAAAGTAACGATGAAGAGAGAGTTGCACGCTGCTGTCGAAGTTTACTTTCTTTCTTAGTTCATCCTTCGTCACCCTCTTTTCGACGATACCCGCATATCTAAGGAAACGATCTTTCGATGCTACCAGTTTTATTCGCGTAGAAAATTTGCATCTCTCAAAATCTCTTCAAGTTTGGTTGCTCGTGCCCGTATCATTCAAGGCGACACACTATATATATATACCGAATGTGTCTAATATATTCATCGAAATCAGAAAAGTTCGATATCTTTCAAATAACTTGAAGTTGATTGACGAATTGTGTTGAAATAAAAAAAAAAAATAGATAAATAAATTCAACAATTATTAATTTTGTACATTTTTCTAAAATTAACAAAGCAAACTTAAATGTATTCATTGAAAATGCATTGTTAGATTATTCGTAAGAAAAATAAAAAAAATAAAAAATCTTAAAAAAGAAAGGAAGCATCACTCTTATCAACCGACTTGGTATGGAAAAAAGTAGGTCAAACCAGATCGAACGTATAGAAAGTTTCGCATGACGCGAATAGAGGAATCTTTTACATTGTGCACCAACTGCAAAGCTCGCACTCGTATATCCTGAAAGAAGGATGGAAGAGTACTACAAGGAGATGCTAGAAAAGCTCCTGGTAAGCGTATAATCTTGGACAAGAAGGACTATACGCTCTGACGCGATACTCTTGAATCTGGCACACAAGAATGAAGAAGAAGAAGAAGAAGAAGTAAGGAAAAGAAAAATGAAGAAAAAAGAAGTGTAAAGAATAAGAAAACAAGCAAGCAAGTAAGCAAGCAAGCAAGCAAGCAAGCAAGCAAGCAAGCGCCATCCACTAATGCATATTCTTGGGTTGCCATACTATAGACTAGTTTCTTTCTTAACCCACAGAAAGAAGAATCACGGAGACTACGCGAAAGTAAAGGAGGGAATATCATGAAAAGAAAGAGAAAGAGAAAGAAAGTCATGCGAGAAGAGTAAAAGAAGAAGAAGAGGGGAGGGTGGGAGAGAGAGAGAGAGAGAGAGAGACGTACTTGCACGACTTGCAACCGTTTTTGTTCGTGTGGTAGAGTTAATCCCCTCGTTCCTCGGACTTTTCCGCGAAAACTGCCTGGAGTTTGGACTCCTTGAGAAAGTCGAGAGGACGGGGGTAGAGCAAAGTATAACGTCGCAGACGCGGATTTGAAAGCTCACTCTTGGCAAAGAAACGTATACAGCGAGAAAGAGAGAAAATATAAACTATAGCGATGTTGCATAATACAGGATGATGGTTACTATGTACGCATGTACCAACTACCGCAACTTTTATTTCTTTAACAGAGCTTGCAACGTGTCATCCTTTGAGTTCTTCTTCTTCTTCTTCTTCTTCTACTCTTTGGAGTCTCTCTCTCTCTCTCTCTCTCTCTCTCTCGTTTAACAAAGACAACCTGGTCCGAATATTTGACTTAATTAAATTTATATTTCAATTTCGATGGTCCGTTTTATTCTCATTGTCTTGCCAGTCGTATATCTTTCTCTTTCTCACCCTCCAGAATGATCTAACGTTTAACTCGTTTCCATGGGTACTACTACCATTTTCCTAGATCTAATATCGCTGAAATCCTCTACCTAGTGTCCTACGGACTTATTGCGCTTCCTGTCTACGAAAGGACCGTCGTCTCTTAAATTAAGTCTACTTTAAAAAAAAGTGCGAATTTCACTTCCCAACCCGGACAGTCCGTTTTTTACGGAAAAGAAGACAATGTCGTCCTCGAACTCCGAGGAAACAAATTACGAGTTTTTTCTTTTTTTTTTTTTCTTTTTTCTTTTTTTGGATGAGTACGAGAGTCAGGTCTGAGAAATCCGACGTTTAAAGTTTTCGCGAGAGCGAGTGAATAGAATTTTTATCTAACGAAGGACCCTTACTTCTAACGAGTTCAACTCGGAGACAAAATTTATCGGAATGGAACAAAAAAAAAGGAGAGAGAAAAAAAAATATATATATGTTATACTCACATTGAACATCCAACAATATGCTTGCGTTCATCGGCAGAGATAGAGTTATGTGACGAGCGACGCAAACGATGGTGGCGTTATGATGACCCCTGTAGACTTTAAGGTGAGCTCCACTGTGTCTGGCGGACGTCGAAGGTAAGACAGTGAGGTTATCCGGTGGTTGTTCGGGACCATCCAAAGTGGCTTGGGATAGCATCATGCCCCATGCCAAAACCGGTGGCGGGTTTCCACCCTCGGCAGCGCATTCCAGCGTCAGTTCTGAACCTTCCTTAACAGGCACGAACTGGTTTCCTGGATCGAGTCTGCGTCTATCTATTAGCAGGTACGTCCCCCGAGGTGCTTCTGTAACAGTAATCCGAGCAAGTTACTTCAAGAGCCCCTGATTTCATCCCTGATAACGCGAGATCGAAAGTTCCCTATTTTCTTCGATCATTTATGGACTAGGGGGAAAGAGGATCGTTTAAGGAAACTATATAAATTCGATTGTAAGGGGTAACTACTATCCTATATTGCATAACTATAGTTGCATGGTTTGAAGTTTTCGCGATTACTGATGCTTTAAAACGATGTTCTTTAAGAGGATTCCCATGAGTATGCATCCGGCATCTTGTACGCCGAGAAGCTGTGAAGAAGCGCGTAAAGACCGTAGGCGGATAGCAATTTGTTGAACGCACGCGGCTCTTACAAAATGTGCGGAGCCGTTCCTTTACGAGAGAACTACAACACGACGTAGCCTTAACTTTCTAGACGGCTGCTTTTCTTGTTTCGCGCGGGTAGTTTAGCCGTTCTCGTTCCGGATTGAAAGCACCCATGGGAAAAAGGAGAGTGCCGTCTAACGTTCTCCTTCTTCCAACTTCACGGAATCTTCCTAGAATTTTCTTTTTTTCTTTTTTTTTTTTTTCATAACTTTTTATCGAGCCGAAGGGGAAGAAGAAGGAATGATTAAAGTAAAGACTACTACTTGTTCAACCTTCCACTCTGAGTAGGTTCTCTCTTTCAACGATAAGCCACTAACTTCTCTTACCAGCTAGTTCCCATGGGACTTGTCTACTTCTTCAAATAAGAATCACTCAAATTGCGTCCTAATGATGAATAAATGAACTTAATTATTCCCCTTGCAAAATCATTCATTCATATTTGATTATCTTTTATTAAAATGTATTTGAAATAATAGGCACGTTCTTATTTTTCACGTGAAAAGTTTTTTCTTCTTCTTCTTCTTCTTCTTCTTCTTTCGATACGATGAAATTGAAACAGAATATAGACAATTGTCTTTCCATTGAAATAAGCATTTCCCATCAAATATCGAATGAGAATTCTGGCGCATAACCAACGCGAATGTTCCCCTTTCTTTTTTGTTCTTCTGCCTCGATCGCTTTTCGTACTGGCAATTTCCTTCGAATATTCCCAGTAGGAAAGATCTCTCTCTCTCTCTCTCTCTCTCTTTCTTACTTTCTTTCTTTCTTTCTGCATTTGTCTCTTGCCTTGAATATACAAAACGTGTATCTGCATTCTATAAGTTGAAAAGAATCTTAGACACGATTGGTTTCTTTTGCGTTTCTTGCCTTTTCTTCTCTTTCTCTTCGTTTGATTTGATATTTTTTTTCTGTCGACGAGAAAAGACAAAAAAAAAAAAAAAGACCCCGGCAGCAAATATATTCTCTAGAGACATGCGCATATCATTTTCATGTATAAACGAAGTCATTTCCATACATTTCGATTTTTTTTTTTGCTTAAGAAAAGAATCTTAAGATATATTAAGTATGTGGTAAAAGTAAAAAATAGAAAATGTTCAAATACATTTACGCCTAGGTCTAACACACATACATATACGTGTTTATGTATACGGGAATGCTCCTTTTTATATCGTCTCGCGATACTCTTCTCGTTGAATGGCAAAAACGTTGGATAGAGGAATCTCAAGAAAATCTGTGTTTACTTTGCATACACTTTTCGCTTCAATTTTGAGTCGAAAAATCACCAAGTTGGCCTCTTGGAAGGATTCCAAATCCGCGTGTAACACGATCGCGAATCCATAGTGAAGATAGAGAAAGAGATAGAAGAGAATTTGAAGGAAAAGAAGGTTTTCATACTCCCGGCTATATATTCCCCTCGCAAACATACGATCTCCCTTGAAATTTCAGGAAACATACGGTGAAGATCTGGATGGCATTAGAGACAGATTTCAATGGGAGACGGCTTTCGAAGAATGTTCTTCCTGTAGGCAAAATGGAAATATATTTTCTGATCTACAGAGTTAGTATAAATATGTTCGAATAGCATTTGAACACGTGCAACCCGCTAATACCAAATACGTCGCATAAGTGAGACCAAAGTGACACTGAGTACTCCTACAGAGTAGGATAATTTATTATACAATATTATTTTTAATTTTTTTGTAATTATTTACACCTATCATAGCAATTAAATCAAATGGACATCAATGATAATTATAAAAATGTACGCCTGTAGATATGCAACCCTCCAGACACATTTGAAAATGTTGCTTACGAGAGCCATCCATCGGGACGGAATTTTTTACGATAGACAACCCGTAATATATGCGTGTATAAACAGTTTAAGCAGAAAAACAATTCTATTCCAATAGATAGCACTCGCAAGCAACATTCATAAGTTTGTCTGAAGGGTTGCATTCCTACAGGCGTAATGTTTTTATAAAAATTGATAAAAATTGAACTTTAATTTCGTAATTAATATGCTTCGTAGTATGTAATCATACATCAACACACTCACATATACGTATCGTGGTTTAATTTCCAAAAAACGTTCTCTGCTCTCGATCTTGGAAAATTTCCAAACATAATCTCATCATCGCTTCTTTCGAGTAAAAGAAAAACACACGCTTACCTCCATTACACTCTCTTTCTTTTTCTTCTATTTAGAAGAAACGTATGATTCCCAATGAAATTCGGTGTGTACGTGTATGTATGTATGTGTGCCTCGTCTACGTAAATGGATAAAAATAAAAAATAAGGAAGAAAGAATAGCAGAAGCGAGATACAGCAGGTGTTAATACGGAAACATAACGGCAAGAACGTTCACCGTTTGGACGCCAAGAGAGAAAATGGCGGAGGTGGCATTTCGTGCACGTGGCGTCGTATCTACCTACGACATTGCGAGCCCTACATCGAACCCTATGATGCCTATAGCTCGTAAAATTTCATAATATTCTATACTCTCTCTCTCTCTCTCTCTCTCTCTCTCTCTCTCTCATTCTTTATTTTTCAACTGTACGATTTTCTTCTTTCGTTCGCAAAATCGGCAAAAGTATCGACCAAAGATCATAGGAAATTGAAAGTCTCTAAAGAAATTTGTTCCTTTATTACGTTTTCCACGAAACATTGTGAACCGACTGTTATTGGAATTTTAAACGGTTACACCTTTGAACGAATATACACGTAGAATTCTTTGGCCATTGGCGTACTATACGTTGCTAGCTAATTTATAAACTGAACCGCTCGATTTCTCAAGAGGAACGACGTATCGTCTAATTAGATATAAAGCTCAAGAGAGTAAGAGGTAAAAGCCACGATAATTAATGTCGTTGCGAGAAATTACTACGACAACTTCTCTCTCCATCTTGCTATTTTTTCTTTTCTATCTTTGTCACACACATAAACTTAAAGTCTCTCTTTTCGAAGTTTAGTAAGTGACATATTCTTATCGAAATGTTGAACAAATCGATTCATAAACGAAACACATTCTCCTACCATTTTATAATATTACATAAGATTTAAATTAGTCTAGGAATTATCATGATTGGATACTTTAATAAAAAAACGCGAGAAAAAGATAAAATCCTCGGACTTTTTTTTTAACTATGACGAGGTCATCGCGTAAGATAAAATGAGAAAAAGAAGAAGAAAAAGATTTCGAAATGCATTTTGCAAAGCCGACACGAACGAGAGAAAATGGCATACCAGTGCCGAGGTAAAGGGTGTGTCATATCTCTTTCTCTCTCTCTTTCTCTCTCCTTTACTACCCACTCTCCGAGAAGCATCCGAGAAGCTCGAAGGAAACGTTAAATATGCACGGCAAGTCTCAGCAATTCCGTTTCTACGGGGGTACCTGGAATGTTTTTGAAAGCCGTTTAAGCGCCGCAACGTTTACGACTTAACGAGGCGTCTTCCTTCTCCTTAAGTAGTTTTGCGGTACGCATGTAATATCTGTTCGCGATTAAAGGCTTTAAAATGGGCTGAAGGAGGAGGGAGTTACCACCAGCAGAAAGTGGGTGGGTGGGTCGAGTAAACCTTACCAATTGCATTAGTTTTTTTTAAATAAGCGACTTTTATCTCGACAATATGAAACCAATGGGTCAAACAAAGTTTCATTGGGGAGTGTTTTTTTTTTAGTTGACTACTGCTATCTGCGATTATAAGATAAGACGTTTCCCGTAAAAAGCTTTTCGATAAAGATTTAATCGAGCGACCACGCGCCGACTGACAAATAAGTCATAAAGATACGAAGTGAAGTTATATGACTGTAGCTTAAGCCAAGCCGGTTGAACGACGACGGGGAATGTTCTTCAGAGAGTAAAACCAGCCATCGAAGGTAATCCAATCGGCCGTGGGAAACTACTCAGGACAATCGACCCTTCGTCTGCTGGTGGATGTCGTCGCCAATAACTATCCAGATTGCTCCGAACTGTCAATAAACCGAAGATTCCTCCTCCTCCTTCTTCTTCTTCTTCTTCTTCTTCTTCTTCTTCTTCTTCTCCTTGCCCCTCGATAACCCCCTCCGTCGACTATTCCTTCATTCTCTTTCTCTCTCTCTCTCTCTCTAAGAGCTTATGAACCCTTTTCTCGCGTTATTTTATCGGTGAAAGCATCTTTAACGCAATCGCCTTTACCAAGGATTTCCTTCACTTTAAACAAACGTTATCTTCTTCCTTCCTTTTTATTAAACATACCATTAACTCGATGTAATTTTGTTTAAATGTCAAACTTAAGAAAAGTATTATTGTATTATTTAAAAAGGAATATTGATCATTTATGCGGATTTCTTATTAAACGAGAATGATTAAGAAGATTTCAGAGGGAAATCTTTCAACGTTAAAAATTCACATAGTACGGATAACAAGATACGTAAAACTGATAATAAGGATGGGAGACAACAAGTTTGGAGAAAAGTTTCGAAGGACTAAATACCCTCAAGAAACTGTCTTCGATCTTCCTCGAAGCTTTGGGCAAATAAAAAGAAAGCAACCAGTAAATAAACGAGATCCCAAGTAGTACGATGACTCGTCGTGTTCGACTAATTCTATCGTCATCGGTGATTCGTTAAACACAAATTTTCTACACAAAAACGTTTTATATTTTTCT